CTATAATTTATTTATTTTTTTAATTGATCATTAATACATTTTTCATGTACTCAATATATTGAGGAATTTATACATATATATATTTATATACCTATAAAGACACAAAAACTAAGTAATGGAAATACAGAAAGTTTTTTAAGTATTCGAAAAACCAAGATTTTTCTTAAACTTAAAAAAAAAAAACGTATTTTTGAAAGTTAATTTTTGGTAAGTTTTGGTCAAATATCAAACTTGAAATTTTTTTCATAGAAACTACATACATAGTACTATATTGTGTGAAAAAATCATATTAAAATATTTTGTTCCACCAGAGAAAAATTAAAATAAAAAAGCTTAAAAATTGATTTTTTAGAAATTCGAGCATTTTTAAATATGTCCCAATAAAAAACGGTAAGAGTAAAATGTTTCAAAACACAATTACATATTACTATGAGTGTACGTTAATATTTAGAAAAAAAAATTAATTAAAAAAAAATGTTTTTTCATAGTCAATTTGATCTTTGAAAATTACATTATTTTGTAAAAAAAGCTCAATTTAGAAAACAAAATTTTCCAACTTAAAAGTTAAAAAACGTGTTGGTAATTATGGAATATGTTAGAGTATCACATAAAAAAAAAACAATGAAAGTTTCAAGTCTTAAATATAAATACTGTTATCATAAGGATATTTTTACGAATTACAAGTATTTCATAATTTAAAACTTTTGATAAGTCATAAATACATTTTCGTAAAACTTTTTTAATTTTTTTTTTTTAATATTTTCTTCTTATATACTAGACAACTTGTGTGTAAAATTTCAAAAAAAAATAAAGTGGTCGCGCAACGACTTTGGATGATTTGATATGGATTTACCCACACTACTCTTTCCCGAAATTAATCACTATTGAGAATATGGTACATCACTGAGCTTGTTAATATTTATTTTAATGTTCGAAAAATACTGTTCACTATTGAATAGTCACTAAGTAAGTTTCAAAAAATATTATTGTTATAATATTATAATTTATTATTTTTAAAATATAGCTTCTTTTTTATGCAATAAAAATGCATAAATTGCAGTAAAAACAAATAACCTATAGTAAACAAATAGCCTGTATTGTAAAACGTTTTTAATGTGCGTCACGTGCTAAAAATGTAATTTAAATTTACACTTTTTCATTTACAAAATGACAATGTATCAGCAAATTGGGAGCGATCTAAAAAGAAAAAAAAATGATAATTTAAAACAGTTTTAATGATAAAAATTATAATCGGTTTGAATAAATAATAAGACACGTGAAATTAAAAAAATATCACATTATCTGTGGGGTTTTCCAGTTTTTCTCGTTATGTAATCGTTTAAACTAAAAATAAACTGCATCACAGAACTCCCAATAAAATTTCAATACAAATTGATGGGTCACACTAAAGTGAAATTTTTTTCCAACTTTGAACCCAAAGTTCAGGGGAGGGCACGAAAGTTACAAAAAATCGAGTGACCACTCAATTTGTATGAGAATTTCGTGGGAAATACCGTTGTGTTTTATTAAAATAAAATTTAAAGTGGGAGAACCGGAAAACCTCCAATTTTGGAGATAGGAAATTTTAGTTTTCGATTTCGCTATTTTTAGATCCTCCTGAATATCATCCTACTACTCGTGACATAGCATTTACTAACACCCTGTATATACATACTTATATTTATATATTTATAAATTTCTGTGCACCCGCAGCAGCGGATTACACATTAACGATATTGTATCTATATTCCGTACTATCAACTATATTGTGACATATACATCTACCTATCCATATATATATATATATATATATACCTTGTGCATACCATATTGGATTACGTGTTACGGTTATGAGAAGAGAAGAATCGGAAGCCGTATGAACAGTTGTAGAAATGAATGTTGAAGGAAGAAGAGGTGGAGGAAGACCAAAAAAGAGATGGAGGGATGCTATTGACAACGATATGAGGACAGCTGATGTTAGCGTAGATGATGTGGGAGATCGTGTCAAGTGGATGTTTAGGATAAGTGTGGCCGTCCCTGAGTAGTTGGGATTAAGGCGAGGAAGAAAAATTATTATATATCATAAGCAAATTGTATACTACGATTGAAACTCGTTCGTCGCCTTTAATATTTAATAGAACTTTTCTAAAGTTTTTTTTTTAATTATATATTAAATTTTAATAATCAAAATGTAGTTTTTTGTCATGTCATATAATTACGAATTTCGATGAATCTCTGCACTTTAAGTGTAAAAAATTGTAATATGTATTTACATGCTTCAAATTTTATTTATTACTACTATTACTTTTAGTTTTAAAGGGACACTGAAGAGGCATTTTTCATATTTTTATTGCGTCTGTCGTCATATATTCTCAGTTCTAAAAAAAATCGATTTTGCTTAGTGATATGTTATGAGATCACGAATTGTATCTAATTTAAGACATTATTCTTTATTATTTGAAAGAATTTTTTCGTCTCATGTAAATTCTTGAAATGTATATATTGGGAAATCATAAAACTCGTAATTTTGTTAACTTAAAATTTCTATAAATTTTTTGAAAATGAATGAATTAAAGCAAAAACTGATTAGTCTTAACAATATTTCATAAATTTAATTTAAAGACCAAATATCACTGTGAACGAGATTTCCAATCAAGCGATGATTATCCATTTGCCTTTACAATCGCAACAAAGCGTTTTATGATAGAAATTTTAATCACTGCCAGATTTCAATCAATAATAGTTTCCTCTACAAAGTTATCTGCTAACTATATATCACACAATATTTTCAAAAGTATAAGATAAATATAATTTCTTCTTTACAGTAGCTATAAGATTAAACTTATTAATTGACACAAAAAAATTATAGTTTTATACACTCTTCTTTCTTCGTAAAATTATATAAACTTAAGTTTTTTTAATAGAATAATATATGTTTAACTGGTTATTATTAAATAATGCAAGTTACATTTAAGAAAATGTACGGTTATAACAAATTTTGAACCAGTATTTCAAAAGTTTTTAACATAAAAAAAAACATAGAGGTGAAGATCTACTGTATTTATTTTTATCTTTTAACTAATCTCCTCACATTGTAAAAACACTTCTATTTAAAATATTGGTTCAAAAGTTGTTATTGGCTAGTCCATTTTTTTAGTTAAATCATTTTAGCTTCGATGCGAAGCTGAGAAGGTATTGGTTTTACTATGATGTGTTTTTTTTTTTTGTGTGTCTGTTACCACTTTTTCTCAGTTCTCACCGAACCGATTTCTTTCAACGATACGTCAAAAGATCACAAATAGTATCTAGTCGAAGACATTACCCTCAAAAATTGAAAAAATTTCCCTCGTTCCCCGTAAATGGGGGAAACCTCCAAAAAAATTACAAATTTAAAATTTGCTAATTTTCAAAAATTTTTCAATTTTTTTTACTAAAAACTGCCGTAATTTTTTCAAAAATGAACAAATCAATATAATTTTTTTTTTATAGATGATTGATGTCTTTACCTATCATTTGGTATATTTTTTTTGTAAATCTGACACTTAACCTGCCCACAGGGGGGATTTAAAATGACAACTTTTTCACAAAAAATTAACATTTTCAACTTAACTTTTGAAAATGTTCTGGAAGGTCTGACACTTTTATATATATCTTAAATTAAAGCTAATGTAATATACTTTATCATGAAAAAAAAAAATTTCGGACTTTATTTTGTCTTCACGGTGAAAATGGCCATCGAATGCTATTTTTATGTGAAAATTCTTGATTTTATTTTTTACATTTTTAACTTTATAATGCTATAACTTATTGGAAAGTGTATTTATCAATACAATTTTTTTATGAGAAATAATATTTTTTAATAATCCCTTTTTCATTCAACATACTTTATCTTAATCAGGATATTAATAAGGAACTAGCAGATCATGTAGCTTTTGGAATAATCCACCAATTTTATAAAATTAAACATTATCTAAAGATATGCATTGGTGCGTTTTTTTTTTGATAGTGATTTTAATCACTGTCAGATATCATTATACTTGATCCAACTATGCCACGTCACCACTGTGCTGGGTTTTTTTGTTTTTAACCTAGGTAAATATGTATGTTACCATTTAAAAAATGTATTTGGGTACAATTTTAAAGAAATAAGAGAGGAAATAGAACTATTTTTTCTTATTAATTACAATATTTGGATTAATAATAACTTCTGAAATGAAAAAATTATAACATTCTTATATTTATGAAGATATCACATAACACAAAGTTAGCGAATCATCTTGTAAGCCGGGTTTCTACTGTGCTTTATCCTACACTGTACTAACTTTTTATAAAATAAATTTTTACAAATTTAATACTACCGAATTATAAATAATATAATAACTCTTAATTTCAGAAAAATATATCCATTATTTTTGTAGTATTTATAAAGTGAAAATGTTTAAATTAATAACAAAATTAAATAAATAACGAAATAATATTAAGTAAAATGCCTAGCAACATTTTTAAAAGAGGTTAAAACGAGTTATTGCACTTCGATTAATTTACATAAATTTTTATTAATTACTAAGTTTTGTAATATTAAGATGTTGTAAGTATGTCTATAACATCCTATACTATAATAAGTTTGAAATATTTTATATTAATTTTTTATGTGAACTTTCTATCTTGAAAACTACAATATATTTAAAATATTAACATGAAAAATGAAAAAATAAAAACATGTTGAATTTTTTTAATACTGTCAGACTTATTTAGATCACATAATTTTATTCAATAAAATAAAATTGAATCAGATCATGCAAAAATCTATTTAATTATCTTAATTATCATCATTTTTATTTTTTTTTACTCTTATTTAATAAATTACATTATTTGTAATTTATTAAATAATGTATAAAAATAATCATATTAACACTTAACAAATAATATTAAATATTCTATTGAACATTTTTGTAATACTATGTTCTATTAATAAGATAATTATTTATTTATATACTTACTATATTCTTCTAAAACAAAAATCTTTTTCTGAATAGTAAAACATTTCCTGACATGCTCTAGTCGTACAAAAAACTGTAATCAAACCAAATATGTAACTTAAAATAGAGAATTAGTAATTATTATTGTTTAGTGCCAGTGGAAATGATTGAACATTTGCAATTAGATATTAACATAGAAAAAATAATTTCATGGAATATCTAAATTGCTGGTGCACCTAAGTTTTAAATACTGGAATGTGTTTTGTAAATAATTTTCTAGAAAAATGATTTACAAGTGCTTCTAAAATAAAACTAAAGGAGAATATAATAACAATTTTTCACATGTGGCTAATATTATTTAAAATTTTAAATATAAAAAATATTTAACTCAAAAAGCTATAAAAATTATTAAAAAATTGCATATAAAAATTACAACTTTGGGAAAATATAGTCGTATGTGTTTAGTGCTGATTTTGGTAATATTGTTCCTAAAATACGTAAACAGGGTAAACAGGGTTTTGTAGTCTTTTTTGTAGCTTTGTGAGTTAAATATTTTTTTGGTTTAAATTAATAATTATTTAAATATATTTTTAAATAATAAAAATTTTAAGGATAATTTAGTAATTTTTTTTAGTTTGATAAAAAACGAGAAGATATAAAATTTACTACATTTTTATAATTTGATTTTTTTTTTTTTATAATATTCTTTGTCAGATATCAATTTAAAAAATTTTCAACTATGTAGTGTGGAATATTAATCTAATTATTATCTAATGATTTATTTTAAATAAATTATTTTTTAGAACACTGACAAATAAAAACTCATATCTCATTTAATACAAAGGTAATATAACGATCAAATAACTATATGAAATCCACAATCACGTACACCAATACTCTGTGATTAAAGGTCTAAATTTATTCATTACCTTTGATTTATAGGAAAATTCAGTAAAATCAGTATTTATATATGGTCTAAAAAGTCTATATTTGTATGAAACGTAAATATTTTTTGTAACTTGGAGGGTAGGGATGTTGACACTCTAAAGTTTTAATTGAATATCATAATGAAAGTATTCACTATAAAAACTTGAATTTTAGTAGAAATCCTACTATATTAGGACCGATCTGTAAAGAGTGTATAATTAATATTAATTGTGTATGAATTATTAATTAATTATAAAAAAGTCATATAGTAAATAATTATTTATTGATTCACGCTCAAGTTAAAACTTTGCACTATATAAAAATATTATATTGTTATTACAAATAGATACAAGTGAAATTTAAAATAAATATGTGTTCATTTAAATTATTTTTGAAACATGTTTTATTGTTTGGTTAATATTATTAAATATTTGAAAATATTTCTATAATAAGCTTGCTAAAATTATTATATTTTTTTAATTCAAGAGGATCATCTTATCCCTTCTCTCCTATGTCTAATGGTCTAATTTTAAGTAAAAAATAAAAGTAGGTCCTAGTACCCTAATTTATTTTTTCTATTCACGTCTAGGTAATGGATATATTACAAAGGCATTCACTTATCAAAAACCACCAAATTATTCGTGAATTAAAAAAAATGTTAAACATTTTTTTGGCTGTTTTAGCTATATGTATTTCTCGAATCATATATACTTAAATATTTTTGTTTATACAATTATCTTTCATATTATAACTTGATATATTAAAAAAAAAAAATACTTTTGAATAATTAGTGGTAAAAGTCACCCTCACCCGAAAAAAAAAATACTAAATACGGTTTTGATTGTTCATGAATTACTACCGACCAGTTATTCAGCTAGTTAAATATGTTTATGTTGCAATTGCAAATAATAATTATATTTAGATTTTTATAGAATATACAATTGGCCTAAAATATTCATTATAATTAATAAATCGAGAGCTAGATAAAGCAAAAAAAAATTATCTAATTTTTTTTTTTAAAGTAATTGAGTGGTTTTAAATGTTCAAGTGAATTGTACTGGAACATTTTTTTAATATTATATATTTCTTTTAGAATATTAATACTATTATACTAAAAGTCTATTATATAATTTGATTAGATATAAAGTTCATATAACTTGAAATGTTGAGACAATAATAATGCTTATTACTTCACCATTATTCCCAAGAAGCAGTATACCAACGCGTCTGCATCAATTTTAAAATCTAACATCCATTTGAAATGTTAAATTACTACTTTAGGTTTATAAAATTATTTAAATAGAAATTTTTAATAGAATACTAATTATATAAAATGTACTATAAGAACCAAATAAGTAGTTTGTAAATAATAAAAACAAACTGCACCATGTGATATGATTTCAATACTCTACACATGCAAAACTAGTGATATATCTATAAATGCATATATTACATTTATTTATTAATATTTAACTAAAAGATCATTGCTATCAAACCAAACGCATACAATATAAGTTAACACACAAACAAACTTACTGTAGATCTCGCAAAACACATAATAGTAATAAAATTAGTATTATGTTCGAGTATTATTGTTTTGAATATTTATACGATGTTAACGTAATAATTCGGATAAGCGCAAACGTCAAAAATCAAAGCTTAAGTCAACTAGTGAGATGGCCAGGCAGTTACTGTAAATATAATCGTAATATTATGATATCTCACGTACACTCACACACACTCCATACATATAAATATAAATATTTATGTATATTCAATAGACAACGAATCTTAAATATACACTTAATTCATTTAATATGTATATACGTGTGTATAAATTAGTACAAAATTTGTGTATAGTGCAGTTTTAGCCATGCTCCCCGTAGTACGATTCCTAGAAAAATGCATCATTATTGATTTTAAAAGTGAATAGAGTAGAATGTTTGAGAAATAATACATTTTTAAAATAATAACAATACATCGACGCTATTCGTCAGCATAAATATATATATATACACACAAAGTGTCTCACCATATTCTGACGAATCTAAAACATCATAAATTATATGGAACAATTTGATAGTAAAATTAATGTCTTGTGTGTTTAAATTTCTATAACGTTTTAAAATTTGTAAACATTTGAATTTTTTCGTCTTTTTTTATAGTATTATAACTTATTATTATAATAGTATTATAGTATAATCTATGCTCATCATAAAATGATAGTCCAAAAACAAACTTACATACTAAGTATTAGTTATAAATATGAGATGTGATAAATACTATTAATTTATAGTCCTTTTTATTATTTAATAATAAACTTGTATGATGGGAAAATAATTGATGTTGTATGATTAAGAATTAATAAATATTTTCGATTTACTGTTAAATGGTTATATAAACAATGCTAAATGTTTTTATATATCATACTAATAAGTTAATGATAAAATAAGTGTTAAATTGAATTATTATTTTGTTATAAAAGTTGCAATCAAGTATTATTCATCTAAAAACTGAATTTAAAAGAGTGATTTAGGTTTTAGTAAAAATAAAATTGTACATAAAAATTCAATTATTTTCAGAACATTTAATTAATAATTATAGGTTTAACGGAATAATTAAAAATTATTTCATTGAATAAATTTATTGTAGAAATAATTGTAAACCTTAATTTTGCATCATACAAATTTTTAAGTACAATTATACGATGCAAGTATAACATTGACATTCATTCTTACACGCTATATCTTTAATAATAAAATAAGATAAATATAAATTATAATTCCGTAATAATAATTAGATTTAATAGGTTTTTAAATTGGCATTAATCACGGAACATACTATTTATCAGCTATATATATATAGATAATAAATATAACTAAATGATAAGTAATGAAAGCAATGTTGCATCGATACTATTTTTCATTTCAGTAATAAGGGCTCATTCAAAAATGGATAATATTCATAGAAGAAATCCTATACATACAATCAAGACTTTGTGTGGAAAGATTGTGTAGCATCTATCCTCTGATAAGCGTAGGCTAACCGTTTGATACCATAAAATAAACACAAAAGGAAAAATCAAATTTTTACATATTTTAAAATCTTCTAGAAATTTAACCATCAATCATTAAGACTTTGTTTTTCTATTCAAATTATTTCCTATAATCTACACTTTAAAATGCCCATTTGGAATTTTTTAAACAATTCTGGTTATTATTATTATTATTTTAATAAAATAATAAATCCATATTTTTAAAAATAAAATTTTAATTTTATTATAATCTTAAGCTCTGAGTTAAAAAAAAGTAACGATAAATATTCAGAGTATCAAATCTTATGTGATTTGTAAGAGCATAGTAGGACACTCTGTATATATTGTATATTGCTCACTTGATTTCAATGACGACATATCTCAATATGATATATCTCTTATGCCTGCATAATCGAAAAATGTATTACTTAAAATTTAATTGTTTTAATTTAGTGGTTTGAGTAGATCTATTAATTTTACAGTATTATTTTATACTTTTTAAAAATCATTCTTTAAAATTTTTTTTGAGATATGACGATGTTTTAATGAGTGATCGATATATATTTATATATATAATGCACTAAAGTGGATGAATTAGCAAACAGGTAATCAAAACTATGTTAAAAATAATAATCTATGATCAATAACAAAAACCGTCTATTTTAACGTATATATTATTTATGTACCTCAAAGTCCTGAACGAGACAACAATCCATCGCGATACCACGTTTCATAAAAAAGAAAAAGGACAACAAATTGAAAAATAATTCAATAAAATAAAAAATTGTGATTTTATATAAAAAAATTTATTTTATTTTTATAATAATAAATATTATTATTATCGACCTGACCGAGGACCATCTCAAAAGTTTCTTAAACTTTGCTTATAAGAATAACAATCACACGATGTGTGTTTCCGACTGAAATGAAACAAAATATCCAATTTAAATCAAGGCAATTACATAGATATTTATATAATCACATGTAAAAAGTGTATATATTTGTATAAATATATATATTTATATACATGTAGATATATAAAAAAAATATATAAAAGAGCTTTAAAACGTGTGAAGTATATTTTAACGAGCGTGGTGGTAATAACAAAACTCTGAGAATATAATAAAAATAAATAATAAATAAAGGAATAAAATTTTAAAGCAAATTGAACATTCTGAACTTTAAAAAAAAGTTAATAAATATAAAATTAATGTATAAACATACATTTCAATATGTATATATATATTAATATATGTATATATGTTATCACACAAAAATTAATGTATATAATACATATATGTATATATATAGGCAAGAAATATTAAAGTTTGCATGCCTAAATTTAGGAAAGTTTTGATTAATAAATAAGTCAAAGTTTCATTAAATTAGGTACTATATGAAAGTGTCTTATTTTGAAGCACCATATAAATTTTTACCCAATGACAAGTATAAATGTACATTACTATTATCAAATTACATTTGTCTAAAACTCATTTAGAATATTAGTCATTATCATTACTCTTACCAAGTTGTATGTATATTTAAGAAATTTTTGAGAGGTCCATAAGTGAATGAAATAATAGTCGATAAGAGGTAAACTGAATTTGAAGGTATCTTAATTATAAATTAAAATATTATAGAATGAAAAAATTGAACAAAAGTTACATTTTTGAAAACTGAATGAATGTACTTAAAAGTTTTTTTTTTATATTTAAAGCTGTAATATTAATAGCTGTCTTAATGCACAGTAGCGTATTCAAACTGATAACTTATAAATTTTACTGTTATTAAAAAATAAAGATAAATTAAATGATTAATAATATATTTTAGTGTCAATATAATATATGAGAAAATATTATACTTAAAATTGTGTGATTATTATGTGGTCATTAATTTTTAGCTTTGAAAATATCAATATAGTTATCAGTTTTGTAAAAATTTACAAGTTATAAATTTAGAAATACCCAAAAATTGAAAAATTTAGACTAAATTTTATCTATTAGAAAGAAGATTAATTAATCTAGTATAATATTAGAACTGTAGCGATAATTAAAAAAATGAACTATGGATTCAATTTGATTGAGCAGCATTAATTAAAGACATGAATGTATCTAGAAATAATTGTAATGTTTCTCAATTCATAAAAGGTGATATTCTGATTTTAATAGTATATAAACATTTTTTAAATAAATTTTTCTCGTTTATTTTATTACATAAAAATTTATTTTTTTTAAATATTGAATAATTCTTAAATTTTACAAAAATAAATAAATATTCTATTTATGGGGTTTTTTTACATAGAGAGTACCATAGTAGAATTCACGTGGATGAGGTCTCTTGAAAAATTATACATAAAATTAATCAAATTTTTTTATTATATTTGTGTACCAAATATAATACTTTTTTTAATTTTTAACTTTTTATTACTTTACGTACTGTAAAATATTATTTTTTTTATTAAAGTTTTAATGATTTATTTGTTACTCATCTGAGTTATCGTGTGTATTGCAACAAACCTCATCCTCCTAACTATTTTTTGGTGTCTTCTATATAAAAAAAACTATCTATAAAAAATATTTATTTATTTTTAAAAATCTAACACTTATTTAATATAAAAATAATAATTTCTTTATAATAAGATGAGCAGAAAAAGTTATTAAAAAAAATTGTTTGTTTACTTTAAAAATCAAAACATTGTCTTAACACACCGATATAATATCGACATTAGTACCTTCAGTCCATTTTAAATGTTATCTTTTAAAAAATTTGTATCTATTCAAGAATAGTGATAATTATTGAATTCAAAAATAATTATTAAATGGAAATGTCAATTTGAATTAAGATGATTATTTTAAATATATTAAAATAACATTGATATAAATTTTTTATGGTATACTGTTGTTTGAAGTGTTATACTTCATTAACTAAATTATATTAAAAGTATGAAATCTATCATTCTCTTCTTGAAACTGAAAAATATTGTTTATTTATTAAATTAATGGAAAATTGAATATGAAGGATAACATGATATGAATAAATGTTTTTATTTTAATATCTGTTTAAAAGGAGATATATTTATGTATATTTTTGTCAAAATAATGTATTAATAGAATAAAAACTTTTAATATTTACAATCGTGCCTATAGCTTAACTGTAATGACAATAAATTTAATTTCTGTTAAAAATACTGAGTTACCCTAAATTAGCTTTTTTTTAATAAATTTCTTTATATAATTTATATATGACAGCTTTTAAATATTGTAAAAGACAAAATTTATATTGAAATCAGAAATATAAGCAAATTAATATATCATTAGGATTAATATATATTATTTAATGAATTTTAGATAATATAATAAAAATTAAATTAGTCCTTTATCGAAAATATGATTGAATTGAATATCATTATTAGTTTGATTTTTAATATTTGTGTAGTATACAGCGTGTCTCAGATCTAATTGATCACATTATAACTTTTAATGCAATTATCATTTTTTTGTAATATTTTAGCTTCGATGGAATGATGAAAAGGCATTATTTTTTTAGACAGCATTGAAGTATATCTTTTATTATTTATCAATAATAAAAAAAATGAAAATAAAATAATTTTATTTTTTTAATTTCAAAATTTTTAACCTTTATAACAAGAATTTTGATGAGTCGACAGCAATATTATCTCATGAAATTACAAGCACAAAGTGAGTATGTAATGAAGGTGTGTGAAATTTGTAATGGTGTATATTTATAAAGCATACACCAACCACGTTCTATGACCACTTAATGTATTAATATGCTTATAACTTGATATAGCCTGTAATAGCGTACTCATCATCTACGGTAAATCAGCTGCCCACTGTCGCACTAGTGATCGTTGAAAATAACGCTATGTTTTCTTGTCCAGGGATCTATAGATAGGACAAGTCAGGGGTTCTGCTTCGCGAGACACATCGGCAATTATTTAATTGAGTTTACCCGTGCTACATCCGCTATACGTGTCGCCGAATCGTATATTCACGTACCACTTGTTTAATATTAATATGTTTTTATAATCAATATTTTTGCAAAAAAGGTTAAAAATGGTTATTTTGTAATTTTGAAAAAAAATGTATTACTATTTTTTGCCTATATTGAATGCGATTTGAGGACAGTTGATGTGAGAAATTGTGTCATGTGGAAGTTTAGGATAAGGGTGGCCGACCCCAAGTAGTTGGGAATAAGGCGAGGACGAAGAAGAAGAAGAAGACTATTTTTTGCCTATTAGTGATAAAAAATAAAAAAATGCTTAAACGTAGTCTAAGAAGATAATAATTATTAAAAAAAAAATTTCAACAAAATTATAATCTCATCAAAATTTAAAAGTGTATTCAGTTAGATCTAAGACAACTTGTATACTCCCCTATTAAAATATCTATATTATATGTTGATTTTAGTATTAAAACTAAAATAATTAAATGTCTTGTTAGCTACCACATTAAATATGTATTTGTTAAAATCGTCATTTTTATTTTTATTTATTAATAATATAATAGCAAATAGTAAAATTCTAAAAAAAAACTAATATTTAAATTATTATAGTAATACAAATTAAAAATATAAGTACAACAATAATTAGATGATAATAATAAACAGCATTTTAATTATGATTCATTATTAAAATATATTAACTTTTGCAGCATGCATTTAAGAATCACTTACCTTACTATCTGCGAATAACAGTCCTACACCTTCCATGCATACTTGAAGAATTCCTCCTTCTCCAGTAGCCATGTCTTTTACTGGAAATTCTCCACCTAACTCTACACCAGGTATAATACCTTGTCCTCTCTCAGCAGCCTTTTCCATTGAAATTTTAATTCTAGAGTATAAATCTTTGCACTGAAACATAAGTATAAGTAGTATAAAAAATTCATTATTACAAGCAAAAATTGGTTTCACCAATTTAACTTATTCATACCATCATTCAAAAAAATGCTTTTACAGTGAGGACACGTCAAAATTTTGGAGTAGTATAGATGATATCAGACAGTGATTAATATTATTATCATTAAAAACGCTTCGATGAAAATCTCTAGATAGTGTTTTTGCTTTAAATTAATTTTTTACATGTAAATACACGTATTTTACAAACTGGCAACTGCCTCGAACAGACTGTTTTAATTTAGTAGGCTCGCAAAAACAGAGCCGGCGAAAATTTTTTGTATTATATTGTTTTCTGTATTGAAATTTTTTTAAAGATCTTTTTTTTTTGCTCAATCGAAAAAAAATTGGATAGGCTAAAGACAAAATGGGTGGACTAAGCCAACCGCGGGGCCCGGGGCAGGTGCTCCGACGCGTGCTCCGGCACTGCGCAGAAATAATGAGTAACCTTTTTGTTTTACTCATAAACCAAAACCGGGTTGATTGGACCCTTAAATATTGTGCAGTTCATCCATAAGTTGTAAAGATTTAAAATTTTTCCTCAATATCTAATTTTAATCATTCGAGTCTTATATTATTTCAAACCCTGATGTTCAATGATTAAAACTATACTACTTATATTACTAATATAACTATTAATTTATTTATCAAAGTCATTAAAGGCTATTACTTATAATTAATCAAATAATTATTATCTAAGAATTAATTAGGGAATTATGACTAAGTGAACTAAAATATAATTAGGTATACTATATAGTAATATACTATAATACATAATATACTTTTTTATTTTTCTAAATAAAAACTAAATTTACAAAATAATTGTACAATACATATTTTCAAAGTAAAAATTCCAAATTTTTTTTTTCATAATGGAAAACTCCTCAATTATAGTTGATGGATTATTCAGATATTGCCCACTTATTTACCTTTAACAGTAAGTAAGGTCAGATTATTGAGTCTACAACTATTCATGGTGGATCTGATATGTTTTCACATGTCAAAAATTTTCTTTCAGATGAAACACTAGATACTGGAATGATATTTATAAGTTCAATTACTTTTTTTAATTCTTCAAGTCCAACTTGATAACTTTGTATTTGATAATACAATTTAGAAAGACCAAAACTAGATGAAAATAATGTTTTACCCAAAGCGCATTGGTATTTTAATTTTCCAATAAAATCATCTGTTTGATAAAATGGAAACGTTTTTGCAAAATTACCTAATTTTTCACAGTCTAAAAATTCTTTTGAAGTTTGGTTTAATATACCTAATATTGTATATATCTCACCATTCTTATCAAATCGCTTATTCATTTCAACACTTATGACGTCTAAAATATTATTTAAAGTTCAGTTTTTTTGTCATCATTTGTACAAATACGTCTTTTATCCGTAGTTGAAGTAATTTAATAATCTGTCATTTTACTTAAGTTTTGTGATATTCTATTCAACGAAAGTTCAACATTTAATGTAGTAGATACATATGCATTTTGTGCTGTTACCAATGATTGTTCATATAAGTTATCGAAATTTTTATCTTCAAAAGGAAACCACCACAATAATCTCCTTAGTCAATTAACAAATGAACAGCACAATAAATGATATAATGTATGGAAACGACCTTATCGGAGAGGTTATTCCCGGCAGGAGGCCAAACAAGGTACATCAGAACGTCACCCAGCGAAATCCTTGTAGTATGATAGAAACATGGAATGTCAGAATCCTGTTACAAACAGGAAACTAGAAAATCTCAAGATTGAGATGAAACGTCTTAAAATTGATATTTTGGGGATGAGTGAAATGAGATGGAATGGTCAAGGTGACTTTATATCGAGAGACTACAGAGTCATCTACTCGGTGGTGATAATGGAAGGAATGGAGTTGGAATTATTCTGAATAAAAAATGGTCAAAAATGTGTGAGAAGTCACATTACTTACGATGATAGATTAATATTAATCAAATTAGAATCTGTTCCTAATGACATCGCAATTATACAAGCATATACAACACAAGTAAAAGATGAAGAATTAGAAGAGATCTACGAAAAAATAGAACTCATTAATCTCACAAATAGTAAGGATAATTAAATTATCATGGGGGACTGGAATGCAATTGTGGGTGAAAATACAGACGGCAGAGAAGTTGGTAAATACGGACTCGGAACAAGCAATGAAAGAGGTGACCGTCTTGTCGAATTCTGTAGACAACATGATTTAGTTATAAGCAATTAGACTATATCCTGGTAAAGAATAGATACAAAAAACAGATAAAATCGAGTAAAACCTACCCAGGAGCTGATATTGACAGTGACCACAACCTGGTAATGATCAAGTCTGTATTAAAATTCAAGAAGTTAGAAAACCCAAATAATAAAGGGTATATATGGAATTTGTGTCAACTAAAACAACCAGAAATAAGAAAACAGTTCGAAAAGAAATGCAAAGAAAAACGTGAAACCAAAAGTAAACCGAGGATAGATGATTGTTATAATATAGAACATTGATAGCGTCGCATAAAAGAATCTGTTCTTCAGTCTGCAGAAGAAATATTAACTAAGGAGAAACCAGCACCGAAATGCAAATGGATCACAATGGAAATAGTTCAAAATATAGAACGAAGACGATTGCTTAAAAACAAAACAGATGAAGAAAGTAAAAGACTATATAAGATATTAAGAAATAAAATAATCCGTGAAACAAAAAAAGCCAAAGAGATGTAGACCGAAAAGAATTGTGAAGAAATAGACAATATGATGAAATATAATCAACAGAACAAAGCATATACGCTTATCAAACTATACTTCAATGAAAAAAAGTCACAATGCACACACGTAAAGGATTAAGAGGGAAATTTACTTATAGATGAAATAGCGATAGCGAATAGATGGAAAGAATACGTAGAAGAGCTATATGGAGAAGAAGACAATACCGACTTATTCGTTGAAAACCCAACCGACGGTGACATTGATTCAAATGCAGATACAAGGATTATAAAATCAGAATTTGAAGACGAACTTCAAACAATAAAGAAAAACAAAGTACCAGGCCGAGACGAATTAAACACAGAACTCATACAGCAGACAGGGGATGAAATAAAGAACGCTCTGTATGAACTGTTATGTCAAATATACGAGACTGGGAAAATTCAGAGAGATTTTGGATGTAGTAGATTAGTTATCCTATAATTTAAATTTGGTAGTTTATCCTACCAAAAAAACCTAGAGCCAACCAGTGCGAAAATTTTAGGACCCTAAGCTTGATAACGCATGTGGCTAAATTACTGGCAATAATTATAAGCAAAAGAATAAGTAAGAGGATAGAAGCTAGATTAGCAAACGATCAATATGATTTCCGGAAGAACAAAGGAAACAGAGAGGCTATTTTAGGTCTGAGAGTAATACTTGAAAAGCAAATTGAGAGACAAAAAATCACTTATATGGCCTTTGTAGACCTAGAAAAAGCATTCGATAGCATAAATTGGACAATTCTCTTTAAAATTTTGGAAGAAACAGAGATAGATTTTAAAGACAGACGTATTTTCTAAAAGATTTATGAAGAACAAGAAACCATTATTAACATTAATACAACAACAGTGACTGCCAGAATCCAAAAAAGTGTGAGACAAAGGGCAAAGCAATAAACGTCATAAAGCTTTGGTTAAAACAAAAAGAAATTAGAGTGAAAATAGGAGGGGTACTAATAAAAATGCTTCGCTTCGCTGATGATATAGTCGTTCTTGAAACATCTGAGGAAGACTTACAAGTAGCGTTAAATGCAATGAATACTACGTTCAAAGAATATAGTCTGAAAGTAAACCTAAATAAAATAAAGACCTAGGACGAGGTACATTAGCCAAATAATGCAGGATGCAGGTGTCACTTCCAACAGGGAGCTTAAGATTATGGTGAATGATAAAGAAAAATGGAGAATTCATTTATTGTAAAATATTTGTTAAAAAGCAATCTTCGGATTGAAAAAAAAAAAAATTATTTGTTGTAAAGTATGATTTGTTTCAACTTTAATTAAATCATTTTGTATGTCGGGAGATTTATATTTACTATTTTTTGGTAATGATTTAAAAATTATTTTTAAAATTCTCGTTTTCTATAGAAAGTAATTTAATCATTTTTAAAAAATTACCTTCATTAACGTGATGACAAGGCCAATTTGTACTTCAGTAAAATTAATTTTTCGATGTTCACGTAATCCGATGTCTTGTCGAGCGCAGTATAAAATGCATAATATTATACTTAATAGGGTTTCTCTATTTTTTAAATTTTTATCCTTACCTTGTTGATTTTATTTGAAATGAAAATGAGCCAGTTTTTTTGGTTGACAACCATAAGTTGAATTTTATAATAGCATGTTTATGCATAGTAGTATGTTCATGTTTTGTAATCATATTACTTATATTTTTCCAATCGCAGTATCCACGAGTAGTTAAAGCATCTTTATCCAATTGAGATTGTGAAATCATAAGAGGGAAATGACGACAAAAATAACAAAAAAACGGCATTCAGCAAAACTGAATACTCCAACCAAGGGTATTTATTATACCAACTGCTTTGAAAACAACGTTGTTTACCAGAAATAACTGTACGAGGAAAACTGATAGCTGGTTGCACAGCACTTTCGTCACAATTTGAGCTTATGTTAAATTTAAAAAGTTCATTTGAATTTTTTTTTTTTAAGTCTCATTTTTGAAATTTAATTTCTGTGTCAAGCAATGTGGTGTAAATTGCTCCAGAAAATCAATTTTTGGCGGATCGTCGTGATCCAAAACATTTTCAGAAGTGCCGATTAAAATTTAGTCATAGGAAATAAAAACCGTTTCACTTTAGCCTATAGGTTTAAATCTGCACACAATATTGGAAATGAAAACGTCTATTCTGTTTAGTATACAATTATCGTTTGTGATAATGGTGGGATCGGTTAGTTGCTCGTTATACGCTG